GGGCTGGGGATTCGAACCCGCCACCTTAGGTGTATGTGGCTGGCGCCTTAGCCGCTTGAGCCACAGGCGCCGAGCCGCCTAAGTTGTTTAAATATATCAACCATTTAATATTTATAAGCATCTTTTGAGGTATGGACTATTGTCATCTCCATTTTTACAGATTGGGAAATGAGACCCAGAGAGGTTAAATGACTTACTCAAGATTATATCTTCAGTGAATGTTAGAGCTAGGATTCACTCCTAGGCATTCTGGCTCCAGAGTTTGCAAATTAAAAAAAAAAAACAATAACCACCAAAAATCCTTCACCCCAAACATGGTGATTATAAAGTATGCCAGGGATGGGGAATCTTGTCATGTTGGAAGGCTTCATTAATTTAGCTATAATCGGGCATGGTGCCTGTAGGTCAGCAGCTAGGGCACTGGCCACATACACTGGGGCTGGTGGGTTCAAATCCCACCCAGGCCTGCCAAACAGCAATGACAACTACCACCACCACAACAAAAAATAGCTAGGTGTTGTGGCAATCACCTGTAGTCCCAGCTACTTGGGAGGCTGAGGCAAGAGAATTGCTTAAACCTAAGAGTTTGAAGTTGCTGTGAGCTGTGATGCCATTGCACTCCACTGAGGGCAACATAGTGAGACTCTGTCTCAAAAAATAAATAAATAAATAAATAAATAAATAAATAAAATTTAGCTATAATCAAATAAGGCCACATTCAAGAAACTTCAATTAGATGTACTTAAAATTTTCCATTATTTTGTAAAAATCTGGCTACTAGGTACTTAATAATTTAAAAAAAAATGAAAAGTACTTGTTAATTTTAAAGTTAACTAAGCTTATATGACTTTGTTGTGTCTGCTTTTTGTCAGAAAGCATTTGAATGTTTGGATCCACAGTTTCAGTTGATTGTCTAGATGGGTATCAGTCTTTTGTGACTTTAAAGGTGTCTTGATTTGGATGAGGAAGGAGAATGTAGATTTGCAGCAATAAGTGGTTGAAAATCAAGAAAACATTTTTTAGGCATATTGCTGAAGCTGTAAGTATTCTATTACTGCATTTTCCCATATTTCAGTTAGATCTTTCTTAGCATCAGACAATGGCTATAAAATGTCATCTACTAAGCATTCAATCAGTTCCATCTGTAGTTCTTTAGGTGCCTGGTGATACCAAGTAAGTGAGCCTGAAATGCTAATTTGAGTGAGATGTCATGATTCCAGAAGTCAGTGAACCTTTCATTGTTTTCTTCAGTTAATAGGGCTGTGACAGCTGCATATTCTTACTGTGATTCTCATATATCATTCTACTCATCAGTCACCTTTGCTAACTGGGAGAAATGTTCATCCAAAATTTCCTTTTGAAGGAGTGTTTTGAAAAAAAGATAGCTTAGGCTGGACACAGTGGCTCACACCTGTAATCCTAGCACTTTGAGAGGCTGAGGCAGGTGTATCACCTGAACTCAGGAGTTCAAGATCAGCCTGAGGGAAGCAAGACCTGTTTCTCCTAAAAATAGAAAAATTAGCCGGGCATGGTGGCATATGCCCATAGTCCTAGCTACTTGGGAGGTTCAGACAAGAGGATCTCTCCAGTCCAAGAGTTTTAGATTGCTGTGTGCTATGAAGCCACTGCACTCAACTTCAGGGTGACAGAGTGAGACTCTTGTCTCAAAAAAAAAAAAAAAAAGATAGCTTAGTTTTACTTTGCACAGAATATTCAAGTTGTTTTGATTTGAGAGGATATTACACAGAAATGTGGCATTCCTATAGCTTAGTTTTACTTTGCATAGAATATTCAAGTTGTTTGATTTGAGAGGATATCACACAGTATTCTATAGATATCTTCTCTCAATAATTCACACTGCTGATTTTGTTCTTCCTAAAATTTATCTGTTCGCAGAGCTAACACTCTTTAGAATGATACACAGATCACTGGATAGACTACCTTATTGTTCAACTTAAGCATGTTACAAAACTAATGATGTGGTATTGTATTTGCATAAATATAGTTAACAGTACTTATAAGTTTTTGCTAAGTGTAACTTAAAATAGTAGTTTTAGCTCAAAGATATTAGTGCTGCAAGATACAATGAAAAGAAATGAGAGCATCTACATCTCTTAGTACTTTTTTTTTTTT